CCCGCCCTTCCCCCGGGTGTCATTATTTGAACAATTTAGAATTTACATTATACCAGGATGCTTCCACATAAGTTTCAGCTTTTCTGGACCAGTGGTTATTAAGAAGAAGATTTTCAAAGATTTTTCCTATATATTTCTATGTAAAACTTTGATACCCCATTGTGGCCCCGCCCTTGCCCTGGGGGTCATGCTTTGAACAATTTAGAATCTACACTATACTAGGATGCTTCCACATAAGTTTCAGCTTTTCTGGCCCAGTGGTTCTTGAGAAGAAGATTTTTCCTATATATTTCTATGTAAAACTTTGATTCCCCATTGTGGCCCCGCCCTTCCCCCTGGTGTCATGATTTGAACAATTTAGAATCTACATTATATCAGGATGCTTATATATAAGTTTCAGCTTTTCTGGCCCAGTGGTTCTTGAGAAGAAGATTTTCAAAGATTTTTCCTATACATTCATATAAAACTTTGATTCCCCATTGTGGCCCCGCCCTTCCCCCGGGGGTCTTTATTTGAACAATTTAAAATCTACACTACCCCAGGATGCTTCTACATATTAAGTTTCAGCTTTTCTGGCCCAGTGGTTCTTGAGGAGAAATTTTCAAAGTTTTTTCCTATATATTTCTATGTAAAATTTTTCATTCCCCATTGTGGCCCCGCCCTTCCCCCGGGGGTCATTATTTGAACAATTTAGAATCTACACTATACCAGGATGCTTCCATATAAGTTTCAGCTTTTCTGGCCCAGTGGTTCTTGAGAAGAAGATTTTCAAAGATTTTTCCTATATATTTCTATATAAAACTTTGATTCCCCATTGTGGCCCCGCCTTCCCCCGGGGGTCATGATTTGAACAAATTAAAATCACAACTATACAAGCATGACACCACATAAGTTTCAGCTTTACTGGCCCAGTGGTTCTTGAGAAGAAGATTTTTTAATGACCCCACCCTATTTTTGTCTTTTCTTGATTATCTCCCCTTGCGAGGGGATATGTCCCTTCATTTTAACAATTTAAATTTCCCTTTACCCAAGGATGCTTTGTACCAAGTTTGGTCAAAATTGGCCCAGTGGTTCTTGAGAAGAAGTCGAAAATGTGAAAAGTTTACAGACGGACAGACAGACGGACAGACGGACGGACGGACGGACAGACAGACGGACGGACGACGGACAAAATGTGATCAGAAAAGCTCACTTGAGCCTTCGGCTCAGGTGAGCTAAAAACTAATGTTCCCTACCTTTTCATTGCTAATGGATGATTTTATCTTTTCTAATTCGCGATGCACTTGTATTTTCTTCCCATCCCTCAGTTTTAATAACACGTCCTCCGCCTGTCAAACACAACAAACTGTTTACCATTGTGACCAAATGATCACAAGATAGCAGTAATTGGGGAAAAAAAATTTGATTATAAAAGTACATGTAGCTTAAAAATCCAATTCAATGACACTAACTGTCCTCTCTTTTTCTGAAAACAAGAAGAATTTCTTATAACAAGAACATGTGTTATGCATTCTAAGACTACATATTTTAAGATACTACCAAGTTGTCATCACCTGAGGTCATAAAACTTGATTGAATAAAAGTACAGTGATCACAGAGCATATATAAAATGCTTCTGACTTACAGGGGGTGCTATTTCTGAGATGTAGATGCATTCTCCTGTGGCTGATAGAGAAACAGCAAATCCTAATAGAAGACAACCGACGATCTGTTAAATACCATCACAGATAGAAAAGTTAATATCACACAGGAAGTATCCATTACAGCACAACAAAGACAATGCAATGTGCAAGAGGAAGGTTCAATACTGAAGAATATTGTAAATGCAGAAGGGAAAACATGAAAGCATCAAGGAATTATGTTTTGGGAGGATTATGATTGAGTTTAATTGATATTCAATCCATCCGAGTGAAGAACTTCAAAAAGCCTTTATAGGGAGGGGTATTTTGGTAAGAACTTTGTACCTTCAACAGAGAGGAACGTCTGGAAGAAACTATCAATGCAATAGGAAGTGATTATGAAAATCAGTAGTATAACAGGAATCATAAATCCTACTTACCAGTGAAGGATAATTTGGTGAAAATCCTAAAACAAGGGCTCCAACCAAAAACACTATTGTATTTACAATACCGTATAATCCCTATTAACCGCCCCGGGCGCTAAGAAAATTGCAAAAAGGGGGCGGTTATTTTGGCATTCTCTTTTTAATATTTAATGTCATATTTTAACTTCTCAAAATCTTTCAAAAAAAAAATAATAATAGCAACCACTAAAATAATGTCTACCTTTACTTAAAGTGAAGATAATTCACCCAAATTTCGCTAAATTATTCATTTTCCATTGAGAAATTGGATAATACACAAGTTTCTTTTTCACTTTCTTCAATATTTTGATACGATTCTCGTTGATTTTAATCACTGTACAGGGGGCCGTTATTTCTTGACAGTTGAAAAAGACCTAAGGGGGCACTTATAGGGGCAGGGGTGGTTAATAGGGATTATACGGTAATGGTCAGTCGTCTGCCAAATTTGTCAATTAAAACACCTGAAACAAAATAAATTAGAATGCTTCAACAAACCTATATGTTGGTAGTGATCAAATTGTTATCATGCATGCAGTACTTAAGAAATGCATTCCTGAAATAATCTTTTCTTACTTTCATGCATAATATAAACATGTGCAATTAATCTTCCTAAATTATAAAACAAGATTACACATCAAGACAATTCAAACTTTTGCTTGAAACATGTATCTCAAATCTTACCTCTGATAAGTGATCCTGCAATAGCTCCCGTTAAGATCTATTCTTTAATCTTACCTCCAATAAGTCCCATTAGCTCCCATCAACTTTGCACTGATGATGTTCCTCACCTCCAATAAGCCATAAAAATGGATCTGACGAACTTACATCCAATAAGTGATCCCACAACAGCTCCCATTAACATGCCACTGACGACCTTACCTCCAATAAGTGATCCCGCGACAGCTCCCATTAACATGGCACTGACGACCTTACCTCCAATAAGTGATCCCACGACAGCTCCCATTAACATGGCACTAATGATGTTTTCTCACCTCCAATAAGTGATCCCGCGACAGCTCCCATTAATATGGCACTGATGACCTTACCTCCTATAAGTGATCCCACGACAGCTCCCATTAACATGGCGCTAATGATGTTTCCTTACCTCCTATAAGTGATCCAGTGACAGCTCCCATTAACATGGCACTGATGATCTGTTTTTACCTCCAATAAGTGATCCTGCTATAGCTCCCATTAAAATGGCACTGACAACCTTACCTCCAAAAAAGCAATCTAATGACAGCTTCAATTAACACTGCACTGATGATGTACCTCACCTCCAATAAGTGATCCTGAGATAGCTCCCATTAAAATGGCACTGATGATCTATTTTTACCTCGAATAAGTGATCCTGCTATAGCTCCCATTAACATGGCACTGATGACCTTACCTCCAATAAGTGATCCCGTGACAGCTCCAATTAACATTGCACTGATAATGTTCCTTACCTCCAAAGTGATCTGTGGTAGCTCCCATTAACATGGGACTGACTACGTTACCTCCAATAAGTGATCCTGTGACTGCTCCCATTAACATGGCACTGACGATCTATTCTTACCTCCAATAAGTGATCCCGGGACAGCTCCCATTAACATGGCACTGATGACCTTACCTCCAATAAGTGATCCCGCAACAGCTCCCATTGAAATGGCGCTGATGACTACTGTAAACGTATTACATTTGGCTGTGTATTCTTTTTAGCGGCTTTGGCGGAACGCAGCAACCGCTAAATCAAGTACAAAGCTAAATGTCTTGCACATATACACATAAATAAGAATATGAAGAAATGCGCTAAATCAAATCTACGCTAACTTATTCAAAAGTCAATTTCCGCCAAATATCGTACACGCTAAATATAATACATTTACAGTATCTCCTGGAAGGAGCAGGACAGACAGAAGTCATCCCTTAGCTGTAACACTGCTCCAGAGATTATTCCTGTCACAGAAAAAGAAAAGCTGTTGAACATCAAGGCAGGGTACAGCGAGTACATTGTGAGAAGACCACATGAGAGAAATGATACAAAAGAGGAGGATAAATATCCCAGTACTGTATCAATAGATGGAATGGACATGTGTGGCACAAAGAATGGGTGGACTTTTTTTCATCGTCTGAATACATAGTCAGCACATGTTTGTCGGCTGTTGTTAAGAAAACTGTAGTTGTATATTGAACAAAATAACGTTATATTAAAAGGAGAAGAGCAGACAAACGTGTGCTCACACTTAATTTAACAAAAAACATGTTCGAAAAAAACTTCTAGCTTCCTTTGCTATGTCTTCGATTGACCTGTTTAATATTACATTTCATCACGTGATGTCCACCTGCGAGTGTACTCGTGAAAACAGTTACATTGTATTCTTCAACCTGACCTCGATCTAAATTATGTCTTTGAGCGTGTTTTGTTGCCATTTTCAGAATTTGGCAAAATAAATATTGTTTTAATTTTGCGTGTCATCACATTTTTAAAATAATGACATCGCTGTAATATGCTTAACACGTATTCGAATTTATGGAGAGAGAGAGGGATAGAGAGAGAGATGTCAAAAATGACGCCGATCCATAGCCCCGCCTCCGATAAATATTGATTGTCTGACATAAAAAACAGTCCGGGTACATGTCAGGTACATGTCGAATACCGGAAGAAGATACTCATGTATCGTTGCTTCAATTTTGATATATGAAAGCATGACATTGTTTTTGTACAAATGTTCCACCTTATTTAACCAAGTATATGTAGCTCTTCCCATTGCTCGTAATATATTTTGGATTCACTTCATTTACAGCTTGGTAGAGGAGTCACAAAAAGATCCAAAATAGGGCGTTAAGTCCACCCATTCTTTATGATTATGCCTTAATTTTGAATATGCCAATATAAGTACACATACGGTATACTAATCAGCATAAACTGTAAAAAACGTATTTCTCTTTTTTTTTCAGCAATTCAAGCCTCCTTTGATTCTTAAATATCTTGATTTGTCACTACAAGACTACTTATGTCATATCCAAATAACACTCCTCCCAAAGAGGCCATGATTGAGGCAAGGACCACATAGATGGAGCCACAGGTCGACTTGGATGGTATCCCATCATCCTCTACTGGGGCTGTCTGTAGGTGACACTCCTGTAATTCTATTTTAGTGGACTTCACAGCACTGTGGTCATCTGAGTCAGAATTGTCTGCAGCCGATACTTTGCTGAGAAGAACCTCTGAAAAAAAAAAATTGTTTAAGCTAACAATAGGAAGTGATCTGTTTCACATACTCTAACCAATCCATCCAAATTACCCCTACCCAATCATTTTTTGAGTAATTTGATTTTTCAATTTCTTTTTACTTTTCATGGAAATAAGCATTGTTTCATTTTTAAGATATATAAGTACGGCTCCGTGTAAAAATCATGCAGAGGGTGATTCATGGGGGGTTTCAGAATTTCTTCAAACTTTGCATGTTGGTAGAGTATGCTAAGATACTCCAAAAAAAATTATAATTTTTTTTTTAATTCTGCCATTGGTATCCATGGCAACCGATAAACTGTTTTGGGCAAAAACTGGCTGAAATTTCCTCAAAAAACAGGCAAAAATACCAATAATGAAGATTAAATGAAAAGAAAACTAAACAATAAAACAAATTTATGTTTATTTCTTATCAATATACAGCATAAGTAGTTACTATCCATATCTAGTCAAAATATTTTTATGACCAGTAATGTGTTCTAATTTTAAGCTAAAAAGGGGAGATAATCCATATTGGCAAAAAATGTAAAATATCCATTTTTTAGGATTTTTGTCTATCAAAAATTTCTAAAAACCCCACAGCCAAACTAAAAAGCCATGCTAGTTTCATAGAGACTATAGTCTAAAGTCAATAAAATTATTAAAACATTTTTGTGCAAATGATTATTAATTTCCCAAAACAACTGATGAATTTTGTACAAAAATGGTAATTTCACTTTTTTTGTCACAGTCCAATATATGCCATATATGTTTGCATGTAAAAAATAAATAGCATTTCAAAACCATTTTTTTATATTCCCATTTTCAAATACAATTAAATTGTTTACTTTTTATAATTAATCCAAATATTACCACGTCCAGGAATAGTTTTTAATTTTAAGCTGAAAAGGGGAGATAATCCATGTCGAGAAAAACTGAAATTTTCAATTTTTAAAGGATTTACAGCTAAATTCTGTTATATGATAAAAAATTTAAAGAAAAAATAGACTACAGCCAAACAGAAAGGCAGTGTTTATTTCCTAGACACCATACCTTATGGAAAATAAAATATTAAAAACATTTTTGTGCAATTGATTATTAATTTCCAAAAGCCATTGAAGAGTTTTATACAAAAAATGGGAAATTCACTTTTTCATCACGGTCAAATAAATGTCAAGTATATATTAAATATGCATGTTAAATTATAAATAGCATTTCAAAACAATTTTTTTATAGTTCCAAATCCAAATACAACACAATTATTTATTTTCAATAATCAAATTATATCTATATCTACAGTATTATTTCTAATTTCAAGCTGAAAGGGGGAGATAATTCATGTTGACAAAAAACAACAAAATATCATTTTTTGAGGATTTCGGTTATCAAGAAAATAAAATATATCTATGATTTAAAAAATAGCCAAACAAAAAGGCTGAGTAGTTTTCATAGATACCATACCCTATAGAAAATTAAAAAAAATCATGTGCACAAAAATCATTGTGATTAATAATTTCTCCAAAAAAGAAGTAGCATCATCTTTTGTCAGAGTCCAATAAATACACCATGTACATACGCCAGTACATGTTTACATGTAAGAATATCAGTTTACATTTTAATATAAATTCCTTTACATTTCCAAATTCAAATACAACACAAATTATTTTTTTCATTAATGAACAGTAAAATGTAAAAAACATTTGAAAATATTAATCATATTAATATTGATTACTAGATACATTAATCATATAATCATTGTATATGTAAACACAATTTTTAAAGTTTTACATATTCTTTGTAAGGTGCAGTCATGCCACTCAGAATATCATTAATCTCCCCTGCTTCTCTGCTGTAGTAAGTGACTGTCCTTTGTTTATTAGCCTCTTCTAAAAGCACTTAAGATCCTTTGGAAAAGAATTGCTGCCTGATTAACATTATCCAAAGTACCATCATGGAATCCACTGAACTCTAAACTCTGCTTTTTGACAGCTTTAAATATCTTATTTTCCATTATTCCTAAAATAATAATTACAATATACATCTACATGAACTTATCATTCATCAATTTAGAATTCTTTAGTTTATGCTACATTATTATTAAGGTACTAAATGGTTGTTTTGATTTTATAAATTACTTTACATGGAATATCAAGTTTATATGATGCAGTAATTTCATTAAAAATCTAAAATAGTTGCATGACAGATATTCTCCCACCTTTGGAGTCTTATTAGTTGTTGGTGTTCAATGATGTTTTCTTGCTGTCTGTAATAATTAATGTAACCTTTTCCTTCAAAACCATGATGCAGCCCATCGCATACATTCTGTGAAAATAAAATGGAGTTTAATTCATCTAAAAAACAATAATACTAATTTATGAAATACAGTAAAACAAAGTTATAACAAAGTCACCGGGACCTATGAAATTACTTTGCTATATCAATTACTCGTTATATCCATATAAGGAATTTGTTAAATTTATATAGCTGGGGATCTAAAATAACTTCGCTATATCCATGAATTTGCTATATCTGTGTTCGTAGTAAACGAGTTTTGCTGTATGTGAAATATCTTTTCTACTAGTGTATTTTTCATCATTTGCAATATGTCTCCAGTTTTAACTTTAGTACAATTTATTGAATTTAAACAAAATCTACACTACTTGAGGCTTCTTAGAATGACTTCCATATCAGTACAATATTAATCATGGCTTTGCTGTTCTAGGGAAGATTCTCCCCTATATATTGCAATGTGAAACTTTGATCCCCATTGTGGCCCCATCCTACCCAAAGGGGGTTTAATTTTACACTACATCACCAGAGAATGCTTCCATATCATCATCTTCATGTTCTTGAGAAGATTTTAAAAGATTGTTACTTAAACCATTACAAGTTTTGTATCTATTTTTCAAGATCCATGTGCGCCTTGGTTTTGGATCCCAATGAGAAAAGCCCTTTATTTTTCATTCAAAAGTCATGACCAAGGTCAAGTTTTTGAAATGTTTTTCATTTTCAGTCGGGTGTCAAATCTGTAATCTGTTACAAATCTGTTTGCCTGTGACAAAATTTGTGCATCTCAGGCGGTTGAGCAAGTTATTTCAAACACTGCCTTAAACATACCATCATACTTATTCATGCCTCATCGCACATAGGGGAGTGCACAGTAACTTAAACAGGTCTAGTCTGTCTCTCTGTCTGTCTGTCTCTCTCTCTGTTTGTCTGTTTGTCCTTTACTTTAACCTTGCCCATAACTTTTGATTTAGTGGAGCTATGACTTTCATATTTCACATGTGTATTCCTTGTGACAAGACCTTTCTTTGGGTACCACCAAATTTGACCTTTTGACCTTGACCTTGGAGTTTGACCCACTTTTACATGAAAATTTTAAACTTTTACTTTGGCCATATCTTTTGAACAGTAGATACCAAGACATTTATACTTCACATATGTAATCTTTGTTGAAAGTCCTTTCATTGGATACCAACAATTGACCCTTTGACCTTGACCTTGGAGATTTCCGTACCTATGAAAAATTTTTAACCTTGGCTATAACTTTTGAACAATAAGTACTAGGGCTTTCATACTTCACATATATAATTCTGATGAAAAGATCATTTATTAGATACCAAGAACCTTGACCTTTTGTCCTTGGAGTTTGACCTACTTTTAAATTACAACCTTGACCTTAATTTTTGAAGGGTTAGGACTAGGGCTGCCATACTTCACATATTTAATTCTTGTGACAAGACCTTTCATTTGATATTAAGAACCTTGACCTTGGTGTTTGACCTACTTTTTACAAACTTTAACCTTGACAGTTGGGGCTAGAGCTTTCATATTTCACATATGTAATCCTTGTGACAATACCTTTCATTGGATATCAAGAATCTTGACCCTTTGTCCTTGACCTTAGAGTTTGACCTACTTTTTACAAACTTTAACCTTGGCCATAACTTTTGAACGGTAAGGGCCAGTGCTTTCATACTTCCCATACGTAATCTTTGAAACAAGGCCTTTCTTTAGAACACAACAACCTTGACCCTTTGAACTTGACCCGGATTTTGTCCTATCTTATAAAATATTAACCTTGGTCATAATCTTGTGTTTACATATCGTATTTCGTGTGAAAAGGCCTTACTTTGGTACCAACATATTTGATCTGCATTTGAGAAAGCTTAACCATCGCTATGTTGCCGTATGGGGGCATCAGTGTTTCACAAACACATCTTGTTTTAGACAGCAGCACAAGGTGCACAATTATCATTTAACCCTCAATCAAATATCAAAAGTAAGACATACAAACGTCACAAGGTTTGTACGGTACGTATTGGAAGCAACTACAGTGGTACCCTATTTATCCGGACGCTTTGGTTCCTAGTCAAATTTCCAGATATGTGAAGTGTCCGGATACCTGAATTACCAGTTAAATAAGACAAAATAATGTTAAAAATTTTCGTTCCAATGAAAAATCGTCCGAATACTGAAGCATTCGGATATATTGCATCCAGATATCTGAAGGTTCACTGTATTTATTATCTAAAACTACAATTTTAAATGTGAGCATCGAGCAGTGTCTTTGGAAACTAATCTTTCAATTTTGGCTGTATAAAGTAAAAAAGAAACTCTATTATTTTTGGTGATGAAGTAAATAAAGTTTTTAGTATGCAGTAAATCGACGAAAACCGTGTGTCGCTTCTGATTTGTATTAACAAATAGTAGACTGTCATGCTTGGGGACTCATTCAATTAATTGTAGAATGCTAGAGTAGAGACAAAAACATTGTGCTGAAAATTACCTTCCATTAACGGTAGTGTACCTGAGCTCTTAAGAAAATGGAAATTCGTCTTTTGCTTAATTAAAAGTATTCAACAGCTGCAATACTACAAGTATCTATGATTTTTCCTTTTTATTAAAGACTCATAATACATTGTCATATAGGACTTGTAAAATACTTTTGACTGCATATAAAAAGCTTTACCAAGCTATTTCGAATAGATTAATAGCGAGTGCAGCAAGGGTCGCAAAGCGATGCACGTAACTGCGAGCTCTGATGAAAATGCCTGGGCAAAGAGAAAATTCAGACTACTGCACATTCATTCCTAAGAATTTTTTACCGCAGTAATTTAGACCCACAATGCATCACTTCATACACAAACTCTAAAGCAACATTCTCACGAGAATAACAACAAAAGTTAAACGAATAATAAACTTGTCTTGATTTAATGATTTTATCTGTTTATTGCAGAAAGATATTCATAAACTGATTGAAATCAGCCTTGTTCAGGCTTCGGTTTGGTAAAGCAACATACAAACGACGTCATATGACGTCAGAATCTAATACGCACTGAATGACACGTGCGGATTTACATGTCCAATCTAAATGAAAATGGATAAGTATATGCGCTCGCCCTAACGGTCGCACCGTCAACATATTAAAGCTTCATAGCTATTTCAAGCTACAAAATTAATTATCTTAATCAAGAAATTGTTCTGCAGTGTTCTGGACCTGATCTTACCTGGTCAAATGTAAAATGTACATTATCTTCCCTCTCCAAGTCGAGTAAGCTGACAAAATCGGACTGCCACCCCTCTCTGAGAGTTTACTCTTGGACTCTGGTGGATTACCGTAGAATTTAAACTTCTGATATAGATCAGAACGGTGTCAGTAGGCGAGTACCATTTCGGGAGAACGTCAACCATGTCAACAAGGTCAATATACTAATCAACACGACACATGGCTATACTTGTGCCCGAAAACTATGCCTAATCTGTTCTTGTAGAATCCTTTCAACCAATTTATGTCACTTCACACATATTTTTGCAATAAACATCACAGGATGCATCAAAATAACTTTGCAGCGTACAGCTAACCATGGAGGCTGCCATTTATTTTTACTAGCGCCACCTATGTAAAATTGCAAAGGGAGATAACTCATTTGAAGAATGTTGACAAATTCTCGAATTTAAACACCTTGTATCTTTTCAATACTTCGTTTGCACAAAAATATTAAAGTAAATTTTTATTAAGCCTTCCATGTTCACTTGAATTATGTATTAAGTTTTTGTACTTCTTCTAGGGTTTTAAAGATATTCTTTTCTGAAATAGGCATTATTTGCACACTATCTATACAAAATTACACCTCAAGTACTTTATCCCTGGCTATATGAAAAAAGAAGAATTATAACAAAATCAACTGTTTATATTCAATTTAGACCCAAATGAATATATTAAACCCAATTTTATTGAATTTGAAGATGGTCGATGAATCACCTTTTCTGTACTGTCTGCATGATTTTTACACGGAGCCGTACATAATATCTAAAAAGAATCTTAGCCCAAAGTCTTACCCTAACCCTTCCACATTAAACCTAGCCCAAAATCTTACCCTAACCCTTCCACATTCAACCTAGCCCAAAATCTTACCCTAAACCTTCCACATTAAACCTAGCCGAAAATCTTACCCTAACCCTTCCACATTAACCCCAGCCCAAAGTCTTACCCTAAACCTTCCACATTAACCGGGTAGCCCAGAGTCTTATCATTACTCTTCCACATTAACCCTAGCCCAAAATCTTACCCTAACCCTTCCTAATTAACCCCAGCCCAAAATCTTACCCTAAACCCTTCCACATTAACCCAACACGGCCGCATTGATCAATTTTATTGACGTATTGAAAAGGGAAATAACTCAATTTTCTATTTTTCCAAGTTGAAAAAGAAAATCGAGTTATTCCCCTTTTCAGAAATGTTAAATAGACGTTTTTATTAGAAAAACAATATATTTCTTCAAAATTTACAGTATTTATTGAATTAACTATAAAATAAAAATTTGGAATAGCATTATTTAAAGTTGAATACACATTATTACTAATTTCAGAGAATAAAAATTAAGAATTAGTAGATATTATCATTTTATTGAACAAATTGCTTAAATAAGGTGTGAAACCTGTCAACCGGTAAAAAAAAAAAAAAAAAAAAAGCCTGCCTGCCGCATTGAATTTTGATTTTTTTTTTGCCTGAGAAACTATTGATTAATTTCTTTTGGCCTAAATTGCTGAAACACAAAATGCAAACCAATAAAACAAAATGTTTCATATACTCATTACCTGGACCAAAACTGAATCCAAAAGCAGCTACATATAGCATGAGAGCAGTGAAGGCTGCTATTTTGCCAACAGTAGATCCATGGATGTGTACATGAGGTTCCTCTGTTGTTGTAGCAGTGTAGTTATCCATAATATAAGACAGCCAGTCCGCCTTGGATAATGTGTAAGAATCGTTTATAGAGAATATTTGGGGGGTTGTAGTGTAAAATACCGAGATGTTTCGATTGGCTTCAGTTAATGCTTCTAAACACTGAACACTTTCCTGGCAAGGATTAGATCCATATATGTGGTCATTTAAATGAGAAATGATCCCCAGGAGGAGGAGGGACACACCCATTAATGTGGCCCCCGCCAAGAGGAATTGGCGACGGCCCCACTTGTCAACACAACACAGCGTTATCACATTCATCAGCACCTAGAACAGGAAAAACACTTCACTAATAACATATCAAAGAATTGTTTTGATAAAATATGAAACATCTATCATTCAGTTAAAATTATCTTTCCTTTTCACCTACATGTATTTAAAATATATCTAATGTATAGTAATGAACGAAAACTGACCACAAATTGATTTTTCTTCATAAAAATTATATATGTGAGACCATAAAACTAGAAGTGATACTTCTGGCTTTCCATACTCTTTGAAAATGAAAATTGAGTTATTCCCCTTTTCATAAATGCTAAGATGAACGTTTTTATTAGAAAAACAATACATTTGTTCTAAAGAAGATGGGCGCATTTGGCGAGTAATCTGCAGGAATCATTTGTATGAAACATTTATGGTTTAAATGTCCATGATTTGGTTGGCTGAACATAGCTTGTCAGATTTTACAAACACGTCCATAGGTTTTTTTTCATTTAGTTTGAAAGACCTTGTGAAATTGTAACATTTACGCCCGTTTTTCCTAGGGGGTACTATAACATAGTAATGTTTCATTTAAATAAACACCTAAAATATTTCATGCATAGATGCATGATGCGTGTACATGTACATTATATAATAGAAGATTAGAATTGATTTCGCTCGAGATCCAAACTGAACCAAAATTTATCTAATTCAAAATTTTAATACATCAGTACATAAAACGAAACTGACAAATTGATGGTTGTTTGCATGAAAAAAAAAATTAACGCCCAATGCCAGGCTCGAACCAAAAACTTTTCGCTTTGAGTGCACTGAACAGGTAGCCCATATAACTGAGCTATCACTGCTACACATATACAGATGACTTTAAAAGGACAAAGAAGCATCACATTCACGCATTTGGATTTTTTGGGGAAAAGTTCATTTTTCTTGGTCTCTGGCTCTTCTCTCCATTTTTTAAACAAGAGGCCCAGGGGCCACAGCGCTCACCTGAGCACATTGGGCTTGAATTTACCCCCCCCCCCCCGGCATTCATCATTTGAACAAACTAGAATCTACACTACCTGAGGATGATTCCGTATAAATATCACTAATCATAGCTTTGAAGTACTTGAAAAGAAGATTTTAAAAGGTTTCCTCATATATCCCTTTGTAAAATTTGGGTCAGCCATTTGGCCCCACCCTAGCCCCGGGGGTAATGATTTGAACAAACTTGAATCTACATTACCTGAGGATGATTCCACATGAGTTTCATCTTTCCTGGCCAAGTGGTTCTGGAGAAGAAGATTTTTAAAGATTTTTCCTATATATTCCTATGTAAAACTTGGGTCGGCTATTTTGGCCCCACCCTAGCCCTGGGGGTCATGATTTGAACAAACTTGAATCTACACTACCTGAGGATGATTCCACATGAGTTTCAGCTTTCCTGGCCCAGTGGTTCATGAGAAGAAGATTTTTAAAGATTTTTCCTATATATTACTATATAAAACTTGGGTCGGCCATTTTGGCCCCACCCTAGCCCCGGGGGTCATGATTTGAACAAACTTGAATCTACACTACCTGAGGATGATTCCACATGAGTTTCATCTTTCCTGGCCCAGTGGTTCTTGAGAAGAAGATTTTTAAAGATTTTTCGTATATATTCCTATGTAAAACTTGGGTCGGCCATTTTGGCCCCACCCTTGCCCCAGGGGTCATGATTTGAACAAACTTGAATCTACACTACCTGAGGATGATTCCACTTGAGTGTCATCTTTCCTGGCCCAGTGGTTGTTGAGAAGAAGATTTTTAAAGATTTTTCCTATATATTCCTATGTAAAACTTGGGTCGGTCATTTTGGCCCCACCCTTGCCCCAGGGGTCATGATTTGAACAAACTTGAATCTACACTACCTGAGGATGATTCCACAAGAGTTTCATCTTTCCTGGCCAAGTGGTTCTGGAGAAGAAGATTTTTTAAAGATTTTTTCTATATACACATGTATTCCTATGTAAAACTTGGGTCAGCCATTTTGGCCCCACCCTAGCCCGGGGGGTCATGATTTGAACAAACTTGAATCTACACTACCTGAGGATGATTCCATATGAGTTTCATCTTTCCTGGCCAAGTGGTTCTGGAGAAGAAGATTTTTAAAGATTTTTCGTATATATTCCTATGTAAAACTTGGGTCGGTCATTTTGGCCCCACCCTAGCCCCGGGGGTCATGATTTGAACAAACTTGAATTTACACTACCTGAGGATGATTCCACATGAGTTTCATCTTTCCTGGCCAAGTGGTTCTGGAGAAGAAGATTTTTAAAGATTTTTCGTATATATTCCTATGTAAAACTTGGGTCGGCCATTTTGGCCCCACCCTTGCCCCAGGGGTCATGATTTGAATAAACTTGAATCTACACTACCTGAAGATGATTCCACATGAGTTTCAGCTTTCCTGGCCCAGTGGTTCTTGAGAAGAAGATTTTTTAACAAGAGGCCCACGGGCCTTATAGGTCACCTGAGTATCATGTAACAACTTTCCAGCTATTGTATTTGGTTCGTGTTTCAATCCAAAAGCCATGAAATTCACAAATTTTGAAGAAGGCACCATTGCTTATCAAAGGGCAGATTTCAAAGCATTAATTTATTTTTAGTCAAAGTACCCCCCTGGTACCCCTGACCCAGCGTCCCTGAAAGTTATCTATTTTGAAAGAGGCCCCTTTCTTCATTATAAGGCCAGCATTTTTTTTTTGTTTAGGTTTAGTTATGAACATGAGAATAAAAAAGTCCCAAAGGAGAAGGAAATCTAAATTTTTTTGATAAATCAATTATTAACATTTGTACATTCTTTTTTTTATGCTATTATAATAGGCTCCTTACCACTGGACACATAATGCTTACAAATAGGAAAGTAAAACATTTAATTGCTTATTTCATCATCTGCCAGTTTGGGCCAGTTATATAAATTTTGTAATGTTGGTCAAAATATATTTAAAAAAATCAATTCTTTAAAAGTCTTTCAAAATATCTTCATTTTTTTTAATATGTGTTAGGTGAATGTGTAGACATTGTTCTAAAATTTAATCCTATCATAAAACAGACAGGGGGTATTGCGGGTGTAGGGTGAACATTTTTTCAATCAAGTGTAAAATAATTTTTCTGGCTGATACAATTGATACTACATGCATGTATATATTTGTATATTCTTGCCTTAACAATTTCATCCTCAAATGGACTGAACTTCTCCCATAGTTTTATTCATTACATCTGATGCATAAGCAACCTTTTTCTGAAGAATGATGCTTAGACTGTAAGCTATAACAGAGACCTAAACAATGTTGCTGCCCGCTGGCAATATGCAACAGCTACCACGGGCAGTTTAAAACCTGGGGGAAGAAAATAATTTACAGACAGATACTTTTGAAACGAATACATAATTATCTCACCAGCATGTCATTGTGCAACAAAGTCGTCAGCATTTTATTTGTCCTTTGAACAGGTGAAACTTTTTGAATGGCACTCGTATCGATGAATTTTACACTAAACCAAGCTATCTTTCAGATCTCGCTTTATT